CGAATTAAAGGGCCCAAATCATGCCAGGAAAACATGCCCCAAACCATAACACTGCCTCTACCAGCTTGAAGGGTTGTACTCATGCATGTGGGGTGCATGCTTTCATGCTGTTGCTGCCAAATTCTCACTCTGCCATCTGCATGATGCAACTGGAAACGTGATTCATTGGACCACATGACTTTTTTCCAATGCTCAACTATCCAATCCTTGTGTTCCTGTGTGAATTGGAGATGTTTTATCTCGGTAACTGCAGACAGCAAAGGTGTTCGAACAGGCCTTCGGCTTCCATATCCCATACGATGCAGTGTATGGCTAATTTGCCTACAAATGTCAGGTGGTCATAATAATCTGGCAACTCAGTGTGTATGTGTGTGTGTGTGTACACATTTTATCTTTTCAATAACTTCATGAGGGTAGTTGAGGCAATATTTTCATCTTTTCTACTGTTTTCCAATCATAATTTTAGAGACAGGGACTTGTAGCTTTAAGCAGGCAAGTGGGAAGTCTGCTTCAAAATAACTGGCTCCTAATCCAGTGTTTTCTCTTCTTCCCCATAACAGATACCCATCTAAACATAACTTTGTAAAATCTAGGTGTCTGTGATGCTATGTGTATCACCTAATAATAGATTCATCTTGAAAATGCACTTATCCTTATAGAGAATTTAATTTTATTTTATATTGCTAGGTTTTTAATTTTCATTTGGTTAAAAATATTTTCTTAATGTTGTTAATGTAAGCTGTCCATATCAATGAATGCAAATGATTTTCCATATATTTTTTAAAAAGCAGCACTTGATCCATAGGCATGAGCTCTGACCTAGTAGTAGTTACACATTTTTTATTAACAGGGTTAGGTTTTTTTTTTTGGCAAGGGTGAGAACTACCGCCTCTGACCAAAGAACATCAGGAAGCATAATGTCAGCCTAACCATAAATTTGGTCTTATGGCATCAAACACCAAAACCACAGGGGAATCAAAGGGGAATTTGTTCATGAAGTCTGAGTTTCTTGGTTTGTAGTTAAGGAGATTGTAGTTGCAAAACAAAGAGAATTACTGCAAGTCACATAGTTAGTGGATGTCAGACTCAAGGCTAGAACCCTGCTCTTGGTCAATTAGTCCTTTAGCATTACTGTGAAATCAGTGAGTTTGGTGTTTATAGTCAAGCTATGGTTTTGAAGCTATCAGAGAATAAAATTGTGTTGAGAACTATTAAAGACTAGAGTCCTGGTGCACAAATTCATGCACCAGTGGGGTCCCTTGACCTGGCCTGCGGGATCGGGCCAAAACTGGCTCTCGGACATCCCCCGAGGGGACCTGGATTGCGAGAGGTGCAGGCCAGGGCAAGGGACCCCACTGGTGCACTATCGGGGCCAGGGAGGAATGCAGAGGTTGGCCAGCTGGGGAGGGATCGTGGAGGGCTCCAGGGCGTGTCTGGCCCATCTCACTCAGTCCCAATTGGCTGGACCCTAGCAGCAAGCTAACCTATCGGTTGGAGCGTCTGCCCCCTGGTGGTCAGTGCATGTCATAGTGAGTGGTTGAGCGACCTTAGCATATCATTAGCATATTACCCTTTGGTTGAATGGACAACTGGACAACCAGACACTTAGCATATTAGGTTTTTATTATATAGGATGCTTGGGGGTAAGGGTGCTGGGAACTGATATGCATATATGCATAACCCATGGACATAGGCAATAGAGTAGTAAAGGCCTGGCAGGGATGGGTACCAGATGGAGGGGGTCAATGGGGAAACAGACTCACAAACAAACAAACAAACAAAGGGGACATCTGTAATACTTTCACCAATAAAGATAAATTTAAAAGAAGATGCTTGGTATAAAACTTTGATCATTCACCTGTAAGTATTTTTAAGGTGCCTATGAGGCAATCTCCTCTTTTGGTTTTATGAGCTAACAGAGGAACATAAGAAAAAGTGAAATTCTGTAATGACACTGTAACATTCAAAATTTAACCAAATGTATCTTTAGTTCCAGTCTGACTGTAGAGTCCCAGACCTGCCATCCAGTTTCTAACTGAATGTCTTGCCTGCATCGTAAATTCATTGCATTCTTCTTTTATTTTAGGAAACAACATTTTTATTTTAGGAAGCAAAATCTTAGGTCACAAATCATTCAAGTTTAAACTTTAAGTTAAAAGTTTTAGCTTTAAGTTGATTTGAGGAGACATTTTGGTATGTTTATCATATGCTAAACAAATTTAAGAATTCATTTGAAAGGATATTTTGCCCAGAGTATATTCAGGAAGTGTTAAAAGGCTTAAGAAAGTAAAAACTGAAGATTTAAGCTGAGACTTTTAATAAATTACAAGTTTGTCAATTTATTTTACCTCTTATGATATTGAGAATGTTGGCTGCAAAATAATATTTTCTTTCTAATTTAAGTATAGAAACTTTTAACACTGGTATATTTATCCAAAAGAAAGATCATCATCATCAATAATATTTCCTTTAGAGGAGAATTTAATATTTTGATATTTTATCAATAATCATAATGCAACATATATTTAAGTAAATAACAGTATGTGTTACCTTCTATGTTGATAAGAAAAGAACTAAAACATTTATTTACTCCACCCCCCCCCCGCCCCCAATAATAAGCCCTAAGGTTCACTCTATCACTTCAATCAAGGCAGGCTAATCAAAGTTAAAAAAAATGTAGTCTATTGATTTCCTTAAAAATAAATTCTTTTACCATGAAACAAAATACTAAACTCTGCCCTTTAGACATACTACCGTACTTCAAATGCTGATCTTATTTGTCACTGCTTGAAAGTGAAACAGAGTTAGACTTTAAAAGAAAAGAAAACCCTGGAGCTACTTGGGAAGCATTAAGGGTCAGTCTGTTTGCCTGGTTCTGGCCAGAACATACCCAGAGTCACAAGGCCTAAATAAGGGCCACTTTATTTTCATTTCAAGGCCTAAATAAGGGCCACTTTATTTTCATTTGACATTTTTCAATCAAAGCACATAACTAGAATTTGAAATATAATATATAACGAACCATATTGTGAGATTGATGTTCTATTTCACTTAGCATCTTCCTACTTGTCTTATTGGTGAAAAGGAAATAATAGACTTTTCCTTGTCACTGCAATTTGAATTCTGTATGCAATAATAAAGAAGCATAATAAAAAAATAATAATGCCAAAGCAAATTGAAAATTGGTGAACAGTTAGATGGGGATTTTCTTGTATGTTGAAAATACTGGCCACAAACTTTCTATGTTCCTAAATGTTCATTTTGTACTAAATTTTGAAATGTATTCATCCATTGTAAGGGAAGTTAATAGCTCCCCAAAAGTATAAAATATAGAGAATAAACAGTATTAATTTAATGAGCTAAATATTATTTGTTTGGATGAGTGCTTTTTTGATCTCTCTCTCTCTCTCTCTCTCTCTCTCTCTCTCTCATCTGAAAGATTTCAGAACTTTCCATCTCTTGACCCTAGGGACACACACTGCCCAGGGGTGCTTCCTGGAGCAGAATCTGACACCTTCCAACAATACTTATGTACAAAGATTGTGCTGTGGCCTGGAAAATAGTACTCAATGTGTCAGGAGGTGATCAAAATCCCAGATTGGAGGAACTCAGGCTAAAGTCACAAAAGGGTTAAAAAGATAAATGCTTCTTACTGAAATATGCCCACATATGCACCCTATATCTTCAACTTAGACTGAAATTTTAAAGGGCATAACAGTTTCTTATACTGCTTTCTTTCCCAAGTCTAAAATATATTTAAGCAGGAAAAGGGCAGAATGACCATTATTCCAATTCTATATTTCAATTAATAATCTGATTATTATTATTGGGGAGAAAAGAACATCATTCTAAATGAAACATTTTGGTTAGTATAAGCAAGACTGCTCAAGGAACTGATCTGAAAATGGTTGGGTTTTCATTGTGAGGATTTGGGGCGTGGGGGATGGGCAAGTGGAGGGTAGTTAGAAAACCTCCCAGTAAGGAAATCTATACCTTTCTAAAACCAGACAAACACAAGGGGGCAGTTAGAGCTCAAGCTCTGATTTCAAAACTGGCTAACTGAATGAGAGCTAACCTATTTTAGTTTACCCTTGGGATATTTATCAGTTCCCTTGGCAGGCAAAGAAACGTGAGGCTGACAAGTGGGTTTAGTTTGCACTTGGTCTAATTGCTGTGAGGACAGCTGGAACCTCTCTAATGACAGCTACAATAGCTATGGCTTCGGAAGAGCTTGGGGCTACATTCCCTAAAATTTACACTTTAGTTCTAGCCTCCCGATTCTGATCAAACTGTGTTTCTCACGCATTCTAAATGTATTTTTTTACTTTTACTCTGTGAACTTTGTTTGCAAAGGAGGGACTTATTAAAAACTCACCAACCTAAGGGCTATGTTTATTTTAATTTATGAGGAGACAGTAGTGGGGGGGGGTTGGACTGGGGCGAAGGGGGAAGTTCAACTAATTCTAGCTTTGGCTTTTAGTTTCAGCTGTTCTTTTGCAAATATGCTTCAGATCCCCACCCCCCTACCCCACACCCCACCCCCCAAACTGCAAGCCATCCTGGGTTTCGATTCAAACTCAAGCGGCATTGCTATAACTTTTCTCACGGGTTTGCAAGTTTCCGTGAGAAATAACCATCCCTGCGCGGAATTCCATTGAATTTGGGGGATGGGAGCTAACATGGGTAATCCTGGGTCGCAGGTACTTGAAGTGAATCTAGCCCAATGGGCAGCCGCCTGGAGCTGAGCTCAGCTGCCCTATTGGAGAGCGAGGAGGGCAGGGCAGGCAGCTCCAGGTCCTTCACTTGCAAGAAAACTTGTTGAATCTTCTCTCTCCTCCCCTCCCAGCGCTTTGCCCGCCTCCGTCCCTAGGAGCTGATTGGCAGAAATCACTATCCAACCCTAGACTCTGGGCCTCCTCCGGGACCTAGGATTGGCCTACAAGAAGGACTGGGATGAGGGGGTGCAAGGGGGAGGGATTTCCCTTAAAGCTCAAGCTAGGTCCTGGGACCAGGGAAGGAGGAGTGGAGAGACTTAGTTCCCGCGACTGAGCCGCGAGGCCTGGAGGACTTATCCTCCCCCGCTGCAGTTCCAAGCCAGAGCGCGCCAAGCAATTTTCTCATCCTTCTGGCCCAGCTTCGGCTACAAGCAGGACCCCCACGCAGCGCGCGGAGTTCCTGGCACTTTCCGAAGGGGTCTATTGCTCCCTGCCCAGAGACTGACTGCGCGCTCTCGGACTTACCTGTTAGAGCACTAACACCTGGACCATGCACTTATTCAGGAACCCCAGGATAGCCTCCCACGCACGCCGGGTAGCCAAAGCCACCAGTTTTCAGCCAATGCCTCGGCCTCCGCCACGGACCCTGCTGCTGCTGCTGCTGCTTCTCCTGCCACTGGTAAGCTGCCTTCCAGCACAGCCCGATGCCCCCGGCCGGGTGTTGCTGTCCTCAGGTCTCCCGGGGGTTGCAGGGGTCCCCGCCGAGGAGGCTATAGTAATGGCGAACCGTGGGCTCCGGGTGCCTTTTGGCCGTGAGGTCTGGCTGGATCCACTGCAGGACCTGGTGCTGCAGGTGCAGCCGGGGGACCATTGCACGGTGACCGTACTAGACAACGACGCTCTGGCCCAGCGGCCTGGCCGCCTGAATCCCAAGCGCTTCCCCTGCGACTTCGGTCCTAGAGAGGTGAGCTACTCTCACCTGGGTGCGCGCAGCCCCTCGCGAGATCGCATTCCGCTGCAGCTGCGCTATGACGCGCAGGGAGAGACTGCAGTGCTTCCCTTGGTGCTGGAGGTGGTTGTGGTCTTTACTCAGCTGGAAGTTGTGACTCGGAACTTGCCTCTGGTCGTGGAGGAGCTGCTGGGGACCAGCAATGCTCTGGACGCGCAGAGCTTGGAGTTCACCTACCAGTCTGAGACAGAGGAGTGTCGTGTGGGCATCCTGTCTGGCTTGGGCACGCTGCCTCGCTATGGGGAACTCCTACACTACCCGCAGGTCCCAGGACTAGCCAGCGAGGGGGATACCCAGGAGCCTCTCCTGATGGACTGCAAAGCTTTTCAGGAGCTAGGTGTGTGCTACCGTCACACAGCCTCCAGTCGCTCACCAAACAGAGACTGGGTGCCCATGGTGGTGGAGCTGCACTTGCGAGGGGCTCCTGTGGGCAGCCCTGCTTTGAAACGCGAGCACTTCCAGATGCTGGTGAGAATCCGAGGAGGGGTTGAGAACACTGCCCCCAAGCCCAGTTTTGTGGCCATGATGATGATGGAGGTGGACCAGTTTGTACTGACCGCCCTCACCCCAGACATGTTGGCAGCTGAGGATGCTGAATCTACCCCTGACTTGTTGATCTTCAACCTCACCTCCCCATTTCAGCCTGGCCAGGGCTACCTGGTAAGCACTGATGATCGCAACCTGCCGCTCTCCTCCTTTACTCAGAGAGATCTGCGCCTCCTGAAGATTGCCTACCAGCCACCCTCTGAAGACTCTGACCAGGAGCGTCCCTTTGAGTTTGAGCTGGAGGTAGTAGACCCAGAAGGAGCAGCCTCAGATCCCTTTGCCTTCATGGTGGTGGTGAAGCCCATGAATACACTGGCTCCGGTGGTTACCCGCAACACTGGTCTCATTCTCTATGAGGGCCAGTCTCGGCCCCTCACCGGCCCTACAGGCAGTGGACCACAAAACTTGGTCATCAGCGATGAAGATGACCTAGAGGCAGTGCAGCTAGAGGTGGTGGCTGGGCTCCAACATGGTCACCTCATCCTTCTGGTTGGCTCCAGTGGTAACCCTGTCACTAAGGCCTTTACAGTAGCTCAGCTAACAGCTGGTCAGGTGGTCTACCACCATGATGACAAAGATGGCTCACTGAGTGACAACCTGGTGCTTCGAATGGTAGATGGAGGACACAGGCACCAGGTGGCAATTCCTATTCCCTATCACCTTAGTGCCTGTGGATGACCAGCCACCAGTCCTCAGTGCCAACACAGAGCTGACACTAGCAGAGGGTGAAACAATGCCCATACAACCCTTTGCTCTCAGTGCAACTGACATAGACTCAGATGACTCTCTGCTGCTTTTTGTGCTGGAGTCTCCCTCAACTACAGGCCATCTGATTATCCGCCAACCTCATCCTCCACAAGAGGTGGAGCAGCTTAGTGGAAGTCCTTGGAAGAAACAAGGAACATTTTATGAGAAAATAGTGACAAAGTGGCGGCAGCAGGACATAACAAAGGGGAGGCTGTTCTATATGCACTCTGGGCCCCATAATCCTGGACCAGTGATGGATCAGTTCACATTTCGAGTTCAGGATAACCATGACCCCCCTAATCAATCTGGGCTACAGAAGTTTGTGATCCGCATTCATCCTGTGGATCGCCTCCCTCCAGAGTTGGGCAGTGGCTGTCCCCTTCGGATGGTGGTGCAAGAATCCAAGCTTACACCGCTGAGGAAGAAGTGGCTGCAATACACTGACCTGGACACAGATGACCGAGAACTACATTACACAGTGACTCAGCCTCCAATGGACACAGATAAAAACCACTCGCCAGCCCCATTAGGAACCTTGGTCCTGACTGACAACCCTTCTATCGTGGTGGCCCATTTTACCCAAGCCCAGATCAATCACCATAAAATTGCTTACAGACCTCCAGATCAAGAACTGGGAGTGGCTGCCCGAGTGGCCCAGTTCCAGTTCCAGGTGGAGGACCGAGCTGGGAATGTAGCTTCAGGCATCTTCACCCTTTACTTGCAGCCAGAGGACAACCAGCCACCTGAGATCCTCAACACTGGCTTTACTACTAAGGAGAAAGGACACCACATCCTGAGTGAGTCTGAGTTGCATGTGAATGATATAGACACTGATGTAGCCCACATCTCTTTTACTCTAACACAGGCGCCCAAACATGGTCACATAAGGGTGTCTGGACAGATACTACCTGTAGGTGGGGTTTTCCATCTGGAGGACATAAAACAGGGTCGGATTTCCTATGACCATAGTGGGGATGACTCCCTTACTGATAACTGCTCCTTGGAGGTCAGTGACAGACACCATGTGGTGCCCATAACGCTCAGAGTGAATGTCCAACCAGTGGATGATGAGGTGCCCATGCTGAGCCTTCCTGCTGGCACTCTGGGGTCCTACCTAGATGTTTTAGAGAATGGGGCTACTGAAATCACTGCCAGTGTTATCAAGGGGACTGATGAAGACACTGATGATTTAATGTTGACTTTCCTCTTGGAAGATCCACCCTTATATGGAGAAATCCTGGTCAATGGAGTTCCAGCAGAGCAGTTTACTCAAAGGGACATCCTGGAGGGCTCTGTTGTCTATGCCCATACCAGTGGTGAGATAGGCCTATTGCCCAAAGAGGACTCTTTTAACCTGAGTCTGTCAGCTATGTCTCAAAAATGGAGAATAAGTGGCAGTACTATCCAAAGAGTTACTGTGTGGGTGACCATCCTTCCTATTGACAACCAGGCCCCAGAAATTTCTGTAGGTGAACAGTTTATAGTAATGGAAGGTGATAAAAGTGTCATAACCTCAATGCATATAAGTGCTGAAGATATTGATTCCCTAAATGATGACATCCTGTGCACTATAGTTATTCAGCCTACCTCAGGTTACGTTGAAAATATTTCTCCAGCACCAGGCTCTGAAAAATCAAGAGCAGGGATTGCCATAAGTGCCTTCACACTGAAAGATCTCAGGCATGATCATATTAACTATGTCCAGAGCATACATAAAGGAGTGGAACCTGTGGAAGATAGATTTATATTTCGTTGTTCTGATGGCATTAACTTTTCAGAAAGACATTTTTTCTCTATTGTTATCATTCCCACCAATGATGAACAGCCAGAAATATTTATGAGAGAATTTATGGTGATGGAAGGCATGAGTCTGGTGATTGATACGCCCATCCTCAATGCTGCTGATGCTGACATTCCCCTGGATGATTTAACTTTCACTCTTACCCAATTTCCTACTCATGGTCGCATCATGAGCCAGCTGATAAACAGCACAGTTTTGGTCAAAAGCTTTACCTTGGACCAGATCATAGAGAGTTCCAGCATTATTTATGAGCATGATGACTCTGAGACCCAGGAAGATAGTTTTGTGATTAAACTAACAGATGGTAAGCACTCTGTGGAAAAGACAGTTCTCATTATGGTTATCCCTGTTGATGATGAGACCCCCAGAATGGCCATTAATAGTGGATTAGAAATAGAAGTTGGGGAAACCAAAATTATGAACAATAAAATATTAATGGCAACTGATTTAGATTCTGAAGACAAATCATTGGTTTATATAATTCGTTATGGGCCAGAACATGGATTATTACAGAGACAAAAACCTATGCATGCCTTTGAAAATATCACAATGGGCATGAATTTTACCCAGGATGAAGTGGACAGGAACTTAATTCAATATGTCCATTCTGGGCAAGACAGCATTCAGGACCTAATTAAATTTGATGTGACTGATGGAACAAATACCCTCATAGATTGCTATTTTTATGTATCTATTGGGAGCATTGACATTGTCTTCCCTGATGTGATAAGTAAGGGAGTGTCCTTGAAAGAAGGTGGTAAAGTCATCCTCACAACAGACCTCTTAAGCACTAGTGATTTGAACAGTCCTGATGAAAACTTAGTGTTTACCATCACCAAGGCTCCCCTGAGAGGTCTCTTAGAATGCACAGATCAACCTGGAGTGTCCATCACATCTTTCACTCAGCTTCAACTGGCTGGAAACAAAATCTACTACATACACACAGCTGATGATGAGGTGAAGATGGACAGTTTTGAGTTTCAAGTCACTGATGGACATAACCCTGTCTTCCGGACATTCCGTATCTCCATTAGTGATGTGGACAACAAAAAGCCAATTGTCACTATCCATAACCTGATTGTCAGTGAAGGTGAAAACAAGCTGATCACTCCCTTTGAACTCACTGTTGAAGACAGAGATACTCCTGATAAACTCCTAAAATTCACTGTCACCCAGATGCCTGTTCATGGTCAACTCCTACTTAACAATACCAGGCCTGCCATGGTTTTTACTAAGCAAGACTTAAATGAAAACTTAATCAGCTATAGGCATGATGGCACTGAGTCAAGTGAAGACAGCTTTTCCTTCACGGTAACTGATGGCTCCCATACAGAGTTCTATGTTTTTCCTGATACAGTATTTGAAACAAGAAGACCCCAAGTGATGAAGATCCAGGTCTTAGCTGTTGACAATAGTGTCCCCCACATTGCAGTGAACAAAGGAGCTTCTACACTTCGCACTCTGGCCACTGGCCACTTGGGATTCATGATCACAAACAAAATATTAAAAGCTGAGGACAGAGACAGCCTGTGTTTTTCTCTTAGGTTTATTGTTACAGAGCTCCCTCGACATGGATATCTCCTCAACTTGGGCAAAGGCAACCACAGTGTCACTCAGTTCACACAAGGTATGGTTCATTTTTCTTTCTTTATAACCATTGGGCATTTCAGGTCTTATTTCCTGAGGATATGGCTATCACTGTAAACATTATTAAGTAGAGGCTCAAATGATATTCTAAGTGAAAGAAGGAAAGGGACATAAAGGGAAAGGGAAAATTCAGGGACCTTCTTTCCTGGCAGAACAGCTCCTTTCTTGCCATGTGTCCCACTGCAGTGACCTTCACTAGAGAGAGTATTGATATTTTTTTATATAGCAGCAAGGGTTTCTGCCAGAACAGGAGCCAGACTTTGGTGAATTAAAATTGAAGCAAGCTTTTCAGCTCTGTGCCATTTGCCACACAACTGTCTCTGGAGCAGCCTGATTTGTATGCTGCAAATAGTTTATGAAGCATTTTAACATCACAGAGAGATGTGCTTTCTAAATTGTGTATTCAGATTATTATTATTAAATAGAGCCTACAAATTTATATTACTTTGATTAATTTTTAGAGCATTGTTATAATACTATTATAGTTGGTAGAAACTTTGTAACTAAAAATCTGTATTTATACTTTGTAGATTTTATAATTTTAATATTTCCAGACAAATACCTGTCCAAAGACATAAGAAGTAAACATCTATCTAGATTTATAAAAATATATACAAGGCATGTTACTATGGTATACACAAAGTAAGAGAGTATAAGAAGACATGATGTATAAGAAGACAGTATTTCTGTCACCAAAATATGCATCCACTTCATTACTAAGAACTTGAAGATATGTTAATAAAAGTAATAGTATAAGGAGAAAATTATTATTGTTATTTTAAAATATGTTTTTATTGAATTTTTAGAGAGTAAGGGAGAGGTATAGAGAGATTGAAACATCCATGAGGGAGAAACACCAATCGGCTGCTTCCTGCATGTCCCCTACTAGGGATCAAACCTACAACCTGGGCATGTGCCCTGACCCAGAATTGAACCAGGGACCTCTTGTTTCATGGGTTGACACTCAATGACTGAGCCACATTGACCAGGCAAAAATTATTTTTTTAATTTCAAAACTTTTCTCTGCCCTGTTTCAAACTCAATAAGAAACACTGGTTGCATCTACATTCATTTGCATTCTTGAGGCTAAAGTATTTTTCTAACCTAATTTTTTGTGTGTGCAGACATAATCTCAGACAGGAAGTGCAGGTGACCTAAGCAAAGTTACTCAGGGAATGAAGGGAGAAGCCAGTTCAGTTTGCTGGCTTGGGAGTTAGGGCTCTGCTCTCTAGAACCTGTGATTTTCACTACAAAGGGCTTTGGGTTACTTTCATAAAAATCTCACCATGTCAGAATGCAAACTTGATCTATCCTATGTGGGCTCTCTGGGTAGAGATGGAGTTTAACCCTAGGACATCCCAGTGGGGGTATTCTTTTCATGCAATAGTGTTGTGCTCTTAGATAACCAATGCTTTAATAAACAAAGATGTCACAAAGTGTAGTGCTAAAGTGAACTGTTTCTCTGATTTAGATGCTGGCAAATAGTCCTACACTCCAACCTTCTGATTCTTGGCTGAAAGCCTGAATATATCCTCGGGCCCGCAGGGACAGGAAAACCTCAGAGTGACAAGTGTCATGCCAGATCAGCAGGAAACTTGTGTGTGAAGGCTTTCTGAGGATAGAGATGCCATGTTATCTTAGATTGGTTTGTTTTCATGTGAGTGAAGAGGATGAAAGGAATACAGGCTTAGGCAAAAGTAGGTTTAAGTATCCACTTTCGCTGGTTGTTGGTTAAATTACCAGCCATCATTACCAAAAAGATAAATCATAAGTAAGGATACAAAATAATACCAATAATAACAATAAGACAAATAATATAAATAATAATATTTAATAAATAAATAATAATATAAGAATAAACTCTATGTTCCATGCACTCACAAATATAAACTTACTTTTGCCCATCCTATATATTGGAGGATAGAAAAATGTTACTTCAAATCACTTGTCTGACCAGATAAAGGATTCCAATGTTAAAGATTTTTTTAAAAGAAATTTTAGGATGAAGACAGGCAAATGTGCTATTTCATTACAGGTGTTACACTCACTAACTTGGACTCACCATGGTCATATGTAAATGAAGAGTAGTAGTAAATTTATTATAAAAAGTAAAGGTAAATTTCTAAGATTTCTTTTTAAAAATAAATTGTCATAACCCAATAAAAACTCAAATATTGATAAGAAAAATTATTGGTATTTAATAATATAGCACTCATTTGAACAAGTTGAGACTGGAGTTTGGCTCATAGCAGATATTTATGGGGATTAGATAAATGAGTAAACATCTATCATAGAGCTACCATGGCTGCTCTTCTAGTAGGGGAAATGAAAGAAGTGCTTAGAGTGAGGACTATGCAATCTCTTTATTTGTTTTTCTTTTGTTATTATGAAGGGATAAGCTAAAATATATTTTGATTGGTTTTCAATGCAGTAAATTAAATTAATTTAGCACGCGTGGCCAGAGAAAGTTATTCCTAAATTGACTGATGAAATGATTGATAGGAGAAAAACTAATTAATTTATAAAATGTATTAAATTTCATTATTAGAAAAAGTTAACAAAGTGGAATTAGACAAATTATGGAAATTATTTAGTTATTTTAAACTTTACCTCTCTGCTAAGATGACCCTGCTCCCTCAACTCTAGGTCAAAATCACTTTTCTCAAATACCTGGATTTTTTTTTTTCTTGTGAGACCTCATTTATAAATCATTTTTAGAAATTTCCCCTAAGTTTTTGAACCAGGGTATAGTTTCAGCCATGTTAATGAACTTAGAATTTTTCAAAACCCATGGAATGGTTGTGTGGATATACTGAAATACATTCAATACATATTTAATATTTAGAAAAAAAAATCTAGTTAATTGTTAGATGTTTGCTTAAAGAAGATTACATTTTGGCTTCTAGGTTTTTATTTTCCTAACTAGAGGCCCAATGCATGAAATTTGTGCACGGGAGGGGGGGTTCCTTCAGCCCAGCCTGCACTCTCTCCAATCCTAGACCCTCGGGATGTCCAACTGCCGGGATCGGGCCTAAACCGACAGTCAGACATCCCTCTCACAATCCTGGACCGCTTGGCTCCTAATCGCTCCTAATTGCCCCTAACTCCCCCCCCCCCCA